GGGGATCAATCACGGAAACTACAATGAGGACACACATACGCATGTTCTATCCATCTTTATTTTTAATTTTCAAATCACATTTTTCATTTGAAAATTTAAAATAATAAAGCATTTATTGTAAACAAAAATTTATTTTGGTCGAATATAATTTTACACTTATAAAAAGACTTAAGATGGATATAATTCAAATTTTGTGACAATATTTTAGAAACAATTGTATTCAACTCTCTCTACTTTTCTGGAGTTATCACTTATCTTTATAAATAAAGAAAAGTTTCTTTTAGTTACAAAAAATAGTTTGTCTTTCTATATTCCGCCATATATCTTCATATATAAAGTGGGGAAAGTGGTATCAATTGAAACTTTACCGTTTGAGTTTTTTCGTTGGTATTTTTCTTAAGGTAATATTATTAATGTTGGCAAACTTGAATCTGGGTCTATCAAGAATGAGAACTGTATTATGTATGGCTTAGTCGGGAGACCGGATTAAATCTAGTGCTCAAAAAGAAAAAGAAAGATTAACAGAAATTAAACGAGGCAATAACTAAAAAAATAATAATAATAAATTAGGTGGCTGTCTTGATGACTAGGTGATAGTTTAAGTATTATTAGAACATCTCTAATAGATATTCTATCCATTGAGGTTCTAAAAAATTTGTGTATGTATATATATGTTTTATATGTGTATGTAAGTGCAGGATCCATAAAATAGTGTAGAATCCCTATCCAAAGGTTTTAAAAATTTTGTTTTTAGAACTTTTGGATAGGGATTCTATACTATTTTGTGAACTCCACATCTACATACATATATATATATATAATATACATATACATATATATATATATATATATATTAGAATCCAATGGGTAGAACCTCCATTGGAAGGGCTCTTAGTAGACTAAAATCAAACATCCAATTTATTACACCGGTTTAACATTAAGCAGAACGGATGAGTGGCGCTTAGACGTCGAGATGGCAATTATGGATCTGGACTGTGGGCATAACCTGTAAAGAACGGTCGCATGATGGTATTGGGACGAGGTTTTCTAGGCCCGCAAATTTGCGGACCTCGCGAGATGGATCTTTACGGGATTGGGTCTTTTGTGGGATGGGCGGAAATGGGTTCCGCGGGATTACAAGGACTCACATTTTTTTTTTATCTTTTGTTTTGCCTGCAAAAACGAGACAATGAGTGAAAAGAAGAGGATTCATGTGACTTTCCCTGAGAAAACGTAAGGAGTTCGGGCGATGATGATGATTCGAGCTCCGGTGATGACGACTACAGCTCCAGCAATGACGATTCGAGCTTTAGTAGTGTTTCGATTTAGTTTCTCTTTTTATTTAATTTGGGATTTATATTTTTGATCTGGTGTTTCATTTTATTTAATTTTTAGATTCAGCAAACTAAAACATTGGTTATGAACTTATGAGTTATAAGATAATGAAAAATACCATCTGCAATTATTTTTACTTTGTATGTTAATATATTTTGGGTCTGATATAAATAATTAAAATTATTGTTTTGAATAGAAAATAAACAAAGCAATGATTGATGAATTATTTCTAGTTGAATCGACGACTTAAACTATGTCCTAGAATGGCCTGAAGCGTTTTGGAGTGGTCTGAATCGTTCTGCTTCGCGTATTATCATATGTTTTGCAGGGTGGTCCGCAAATGCCTACAAGAAATATGGTACGGGATTAGACAATTGTTTTTAAGATTGCATCCCGCCCGAAACAGGCCTACCGCGTCCCGTTAGAAGACGAACCCACAACGATACATGACGGGAGAACCTAATTGTCATCTCTACTTAAATGTTTAGATATCTAAATTTTAGAGAAGGATATTAATGTCACAAACTATAAATTATATATGCTAAAACTAGAGGTAACAAATTTTTAAGATTTTATAACGTTTTCATAAGAGCGGATAAAAATTGTGTAAGTGGACATAATATTGGCAGACATCAACATAAAAAGCAGGAATTCGAATTCATGTTTCTCATATCATACATATTTTGTATTATTCTTCATTGGCACGCAGCCAAATATGTCATTAGTAAGATAATATATTCTTTGCTGCAATATCTCTTTTCCATAAATATTCTATGTATGAAAACACACAAAAATTAATTATCGTACATTTTTACGATAATTCACTCTTTATCATTAAGTAAAGATGCAATAAACAGTTTGTCTCATCCAATTCCGTCTTGAATTGCAACAAGATTTTTGAAGGGTTACAGCAGGTCCGAGCGGACTGAAGTCTCTGAAATGGCTGACTAAACCCATTCCGCTATATATGTACAAGCCTTCGCGGGCCGACCAGCGGGAAAATTAATAATACGTATGGTAAATGCTTTAGACCGTTCCAAAATGCTTTATGCCATTCTAGTTCAAGTTGTCGATTCAGTTGGACATAATTTCTCAGTCATTGATTTGCTCTTTTTCTTCAAAAAAATAGTTGTAGTTATTTTTTTCACACTCAGAATATATTAACATACAAAGTAAAAATAATTGCAGAAAATAATTTTTATTATCTTATAATTCATAAGTCATAACCAATATTTTAGTTTGATGAACTGAAAAATTAAATAAAATCAAACACCAAATCAAAGTTGCCAACACCAAATTAAATAAAAAAAGAAAAGACTAAATCAAAATACTGCTAAAAGCTCAAATTATCATCGCCGGAGCTCGAATCATCATCACTTAAACTCGAATCATTATCGCTGAAACTCCTTATGTTTTCTCAGGGATAGCCACATGAATTATCTTATTCTCATTTTATATCTCGTTTTTTCAGGTAAAACAAGAAATGAAGAAGAAAAAATGATGGTTCTTTGTAATCCCGCATGACCTGATTTGGTCCATTCCTCAAAAGATCCAGTCCAGTAAAGATCCGTCTCGCGAGACCCGCAAATTTCTAGGCTTAGAAAATCCTGGCCCAATACCATTCTGCGACAGTCCTTTACGGGTCAGATCTACAGTACAGATCCATAATTACCATCTCTATCCGATAGGATTTATCAAACAAAATAAGAAAACACACAAAAACTAAGAAAATAATATGTGTTAAAAAACTAAGAAAATAGTTTAGTAAGAGAAATATAGCATACACTTGGTGAATCTTATGGTCTTGGTGAATCTTTAGACCACATACATAATTAGCACATTAGGTATACTTGATGAAATGAATACTTTTTCTTAAAAATTATTAAAGTTCGATCCGCATATCAGGCGAATGTTGATTTTATATATATACATATATATATATATATATATATATATTGATTTATGTTTTTATATAATCATTGTATATTTTAGAAGTACTATTATTGTGTAATGCAATTATATTACGACTATTAATTTATATTTATATTATGTTTCATTTTAAGTATTCTATGTTTATATATTTCACCATAAAATGAATATAATATTATTATATTTGCAAATCATGTAGTGATGTAAATCTGATCATTTAATTACATGTGTATAATTGACAGATGTATAATATATTTCTCATAATCTATTTATTATATTAAAATATTTCTTTTTTAGTAAGTAATAGACAAAATATATATTATGTAAAATAAGATTTGATTAATACAAAAGTCTATTAAGAAATTGTTATTACTGTTATCTATGTTTCTAGATAATCTCCATTGATATTTCAAGTTTAATAATATAGATGATATACTTCTTTTTTTTTTTTATTATTTTTTTTTTTTTAGATGATATACTTCTAGTCATTTCCAATCAAGAAAATGACAGCGATAGATAGAGATGATAGAATTACATGCATGTCCAATACTCTTGACATAGACAAAATAATCTTCACTAACCATCATAGATTCGTAAGATATTATAGCTTTTGGTAAAAACAAATGTACCGTTGTCTAGAAGATTGTATTAATAAACCATATATAAAACGTGTGAGCTTGCAAACTTGCGCTCCTAGCATTTTACCACAAAACCAACAAGTTATTCCATGTAAATGTTTTATTCTAGTGTGCCGTTTTTTTTTTCCTTTTTTTTTTTATCAAATTCTAGTGTGCCGTTAAAAAGCAGTCTTACATCTATTTGATGTAATTATAATTCTAATCGGGTAACTTACCACATAATTTTAAATATAAAATTCAAACTATGAAAATTTTGATATTTTCTTAAAAGGTTAAATATTTTTCTCATGAAAGATTTTTGACATAGTTCGAAAATGTTTAAATATTTTTCCAATGAATATGTAATATCTAATTATAGTTTTTCATACTTTTCTCATCAAATCATATTTGTTTGAAATAGAAAAACTCTGAATTAAGTGAAACTATTTTAGAATTGCAACAAAATTGGAAGCTAAGAAGAAAATTCTGAAAAATAAACCAGTTAGATTTTTATATAATCACTGAAATAGAATTTCTTATTTTCAAGTAAATTAATTTGCTTTTGTTTTTCCTCCATTAAATAACAGGAAAACTTTCCATCCTAAAAAAAAACAAACCTCAAATAATGTGCGTTCCCCTGCCTTGCTGATTTGATTTCGTTTCTACCTCCCACAGAATCTGAACTCTAATTTTGGTAACAAAATTCAATAAAATGAAAATATAAAACATTGGCGAAGACAAAAAAGTAAACGGAATATCTGCGACGGTGAGTATAATAGGTTTTCTCCGATCAAAATGAACGTTGGCCTGATTGTGTAGAGGACTGTATATATCTTGTTAACTATGTCCCCACCTTTTTGTTTCCTACCTAAATACTTTTCATCATTCGGTTTCAAGCTTCAAAGTATAGAATACTCTTGGATGAATCTTAGGTTTAGCTACTCTTCTTTAAGACCCCTTGGTTGTCAATAATCTTAATCTTAGTTTTCCAGTAATTATATCAACAATGCTGACTTGAGTATTTTTGGGTCTAGTTTATTCTTTATAGCTGTTAGACTTCCATGAGAAAATTTTCAGAATCAAAGAAAACTGATGTTGTTTCAGGGGAGAAGCATAACGATGAAGCCTTCTATGATGGATAGTCTATTAGGTCTTCTTCGTATTCGTGTCAAGCGCGGTGTCAATCTCGCCGTCCGCGATCTAAACAGTAGCGATCCTTACGTCGTCGTCAAAATGGGTAAACAGGTAACCAGCCTATAACTTATTAATATACTCAAGTGTGTGTGTTCCTATCTTATATAATTACGAGGATTAAAGGTTTAATTAAGGTGTCGGATGAAGACAAATTGTGATACATATTGCTAGGTTAGTTTCATTCATCAATCAAATAAAGAAAACATAATATTTCATTTACGGATTGATTGCATATTACGTGTATTTTGGAGTGCATGGTCAGACAGACCGGTTGTGAGTATCTGTAAGTTGGCGTCTAGCTTTTTTAAATAATAAACATAGGTCCCAAAATTTATAAGAAGAAGAATATATATATTCAACTCATACTAAATTGCTTATCGCCCAAATCTCATGATAGCCCATGTGCATGGTTCAATATTGTAGAGTAATTAGAATTTACATAACGCCAAATTCACATTTTATATAAATTCAAGAAATATTAAAATCATTATAAACGAAAATATTTTTATACTAGCTCAATATATTGAAACGAATGAAAATTCTTTTTTTTTTTCATGACTAAACGAATGAGAAAACTGAATGGGCAGAAATTGAAGACTCGAGTTATTTACAATGACGTGAATCCTGAGTGGAATGAAGATTTGACTCTCTCAGTAACCGATCCCAAACTCAAAGTCCTCTTGGTAAGCAACGTCCATATAAAAATATTCTCGTTTAACATATGTTATATAATAACCCTTGATCGATTGTTTTTTTCTTTCCAAGACGGTGTATGATCACGATACATTCACCAAAGACGACAAAATGGGAGATGCAGAATTCGAGATCAAGACGTACATCAATGCATTGACTATGCACTTGCAAGATCTCCCGTGTGGGACCATAGTGACCACAGTCCAGCCTAGTCGAGACAATTGCTTAGCGGAGGGTTCTCGGATCATCTGGTCTGATGGTAAGCTCATTCAGGATATAGTCCTTAGACTGAAAAATGTTGAGTGCGGTGAGGTTGAGGTTCAACTTCAATGGATTGATCTTCCTGGCTCCAAGGGTCTATGATTTCTTTACTTGTTATTTGTAATTTAACGTCATGTTATGGACACTATATAGGCTTAAAGTTAACCCACAAACTGATGTTGTATATATGTTATTGAACATGATAAGTAAAGATTATTCACTTTATTTTCATTTTTTTTATTATTTGCTTAGTCAACGAAATGTGTGTCAATACTCAATCGTTAATGGAGTATTACTATGATGTTGTAGAATGATAGTGTCAATGGGCACTACAAGAATGTCAAGTTTATGTGTATGACATATCCAGACCTGAAAGGTGAAAATCACAAATGGATCTGTAGACTTGCTTTTCTCAAATTGGTTGTTCATGTATATGTCAGATAATGAGGTGATGTCTGTTCATTTTCTCAAATTGGTTGCCAAAACTAACCCACAACTTGGTTTTAACCCCAATACTAGACCCCAACTTGATCAAATGCAAATCTAACATAAAAGGGTTATGAAATTACAATATAGTGCTCTGTGACCAAACAAAAAAACAGAAGACATTTTTACGAATATAACCCCAGTAAGTTGTCTGGGTCGGGCTGAGTTACTTTTCAGTCGTCTGGACGACTGAAATGTTAGTTGTCTGGACGATTGAAATGTTAGTTGTCTGGACGATTGAATCTTAAAAATAATTTATAAATTCTGTAAAAAATATTTTGATGAGTGAAAAATTAAAAACATGTAATTAAAAACATTTATAAGTGATATAAATTAAGAAATGATAAAGTTGATTTGTTTTCGGAATAGATGAGTTGAAGTAGTGAATCATGATATTCTTTGGTTTAAGGGTTTGGCAAACATATGTTCTAGTATTGTATGTAATCTTAGGGTTAGATTTTGAAAAGCTGAAATGTTTTTTTGAAAACATTTTTCAAGTTTAAATTGATGTTTCGAAGTCTTTATTTCTGTGTATAGTAAACATTTTTCAAGTTTAAATTGATGTTTCGAAGTGTTTAATTAGAGAATAAAGTTTAGGGGTTATGTTTAGGGATTAGACGACTGAAATTTCAGTCGTCTGCTTTAAATTATTTCCCAGACGAATTTCAGTCGTCTGCTTTAAATTATTTCCCAGACGACCGAAATTTCAGTCGTCTGCTTTAAATTATTTCCCAGACGACTGAAATTTCAGTCGTCTGCTTTAAATTATTTCCCAAACGACTGAAATTTCAGTCGTCTGCTTTAAATTATTTCCCAGACGACTGAAATTTCAGTCGTCTAATTGTACCGAACCGTTAATTTTAACATTTTACGTTTTAACCTAACCAGATTTTTATCGGACATATAAAAGTTATTTTTTCACTTTTTCACAATTTTCCGAAACCCTAGCGCCGTTTCTCTCCAAGGACGATTGTAAAGGCGATTTCGACGAATCTCTCCGATTTCGACGAATCTCTCCGTTTTCGCCGGTAATCTCTCCGATTTCGACGAATCTTGTTTTTCTTTCATGCCTTAGAGTATTTTCGTAGTTTAAACTGACCATCCGCTTCCTTTTTTCAGATCTGAAATCTCGTAGCCCTTTCCTCCGCCGCCGGTATGTTATAACTTATGTTTTAAGGCGTTTAGCCGCCGGAAAACCCTAAAATTGTAGTCTTGACTCTTCTTTTCCCTTCGATATGCAGATCTGTAACCGCTAGGGACCACATCTTCTCCGACTAAATCTTCTCCGACTGTAAGTCGTCATAGTAGTCTTCTCACTTCCTGGAAGCCTTCTACGAAGTCTTACTCTCTGGACGACTTACATGTAAGTCGTCCAGAGAGTAAGATTCTGTAGAAGACTTCCAGGAAGTCGTCTGAGTAGTCTTCTCACTTCCTGGAAGCCTTCTACGAAGTCTTACTCTCTGGAAGACTTACATGTAAGTCGTCCAGAGAGTAAGACTCTGTAGAAGACTTCCAGGAAGTCGTCTGAGTAGTTATCTTAAAATGGATATATCAGAACTGCCGCCGAGGTTGTTTACATTAGGAGAAGAGCCCCCTGCACTGAGGAGCATTTCGTATCATTCTGATGACATGAAGTTGTTTCAAGCTCTATCTGATAATCTCAGACCTGAGGAATATGAGGATCTGAAAGCGTCAAAGTTGGGAATATTCATCAAGTTCAAGAAGCTTGGCTTTGTTTGGACTTCAAAGCTTGTACATTTTATTCTCTCCTTCCAGCTGGACATCAAGAAGAAGTTTGAGCTCTGGACTCTTGTCGGACCAGAACCTTTGAGGTTTTCAATTCTAGAGTTTGAAAACCTCACAGGTCTGAACTGCGACTACATCCCGAATTTGGAAAATCCAAGGTGTGAGATTTCTCAGGAGATGACTGCTTTCTGGGAGAAGATGGGTGTTGATCCCCATGCTGGGCCAAGCATTGAACAATTAAGAACAGCATTTACCAAGTGTGATGGGTGGTCTCGGGATGATCGAATGCGGCTGGGATACCTTGCCATCTACGCTGGATACATTGAAGCCAGAAAGTTCTCTTCTCCTACACGGGCTAGTCTTGCAAGGCTAGTCATGGACTTGGAAAGATTTGAGAATTACCCATGGGGAAGAGTGGCGTTCAAGGTTCTAATGGATTCTTTGAAGGCAAAAGACTTGACGCAAACAGGTTACACCGTTGATGGGTTTGTACAGGCTCTCCAGGTGTGGGCGTNACACGGGCTAGTCTTGCAAGGCTAGTCATGGACTTGGAAAGATTTGAGAATTACCCATGGGGAAGAGTGGCGTTCAAGGTTCTAATGGATTCTTTGAAGGCAAAAGACTTGACGCAAACAGGTTACACCGTTGATGGGTTTGTACAGGCTCTCCAGGTGTGGGCGTACGAAGCTATGCCAGAATTGGGTGCCAATTATGGCTCTCATGTGTCAAGCAGACCGTCTCTACCGTTGCTTGCTTACAAGGGTGGCCTACGACAACGCAGATTTTTCAAGGACGCCATCAGCAGACAGGTATTTAACTTCACTCCCGGACAACTTTCAGACGACTTAAAGTTAAGTCGTCTGAAAGTCGTCCAGAAAAAGACTTCACAGACGACTTAAAGTTAAGTCGTCTGAAAGTCGTCCAACAATCACTCCCGGACGACTTTCAGACACTTAAAGTTAAGTAGTCTAAAAGACGTCTAAGTCGTCTGAAAGACGTCTAAGTCGTCGAAAGACGTCTAAGTTGTCTGAAAGTCGTCTAACAAAAAACTTCTCAGACGACTCAAAGTTAAGTCGTCTGAGAAGTTTTTTGTTAGACGACTTTCAGACGACTTAACTTTAAGTCGTCCATCCTAATCCGTCAAATACCTAAGTTTATATGTTTTATTTACTGCAGAGAGACGTGAACAACTTTGTTCAAAAGGACCTTGAAGACATGTTTCCAAAATGGGACGGAGACAGAGATGACCCTGCCGCAGACAACATAATTAAAGCCATGTTTGTTCCTGGATGGAAGTGGACCATGGACTGTTGGCAAGTCACCGGTACTCAGAAGGTTGGTGTGAAGCTTGAGAGTGGTGTGAAGATTGAGAGTTGTGTGAAGGAGGAGAGTGGTGTGAAGGAGGAGAATAGCAGACCTTGAAAGAAAGCTCGTAAAGAGTCGCATGTTGAAGCTGAGTCTTTTACGAAAAAGCATCTTCAAAAAGCCTTGAAGGACATATCTGATGCCATGAAGGATGGGTTTGATAGGTGCCTTAGGGAGATACAGTTGGTGGGGTCTAGGGTGGGAGCTTTGGAGAAGAAGGTGGGAGATCTGGAGAAGATGGTGGGTAGTACTTCAGCAAATCCAGAACAACCCGGGGTTAGTACCAGAATCACTATGCAACGTGTTAAGAAGAGGACAAAATAGGCTTGTGTGTAGAGTTTTTAACCATTGTATCCTTTGCTTCAGAACCTTTGTGGTTTGTTTCAAATGTGCATGGATTTTTAAAAATGTGTGAATTTCCTTTGTGACTTTGTTTCTTGTGTGCTGTTTTTAAACACATTTTGTATATCGACATTGCAGAGTGAAAGTGTGAATGGGGCGAAAGAAAAGAGTCATACTCCCTCGAAAGAGCTGGTGGTGAAGAAAAATGTAGAGGACCCGAGTGGTGAAGCCAGTCTTCTCGTTTTGGACAAACAAGTACCCACTGCCGAAGATTTAGAGCAAGCGGAAGCTAGGAGGCATACAAAGAAGGAAGCATACAAGGTGAAACTCCGTGCAAAAAGTGAGCGAGATCGGAAACTTGCTCCCACTCAACAAACTCCTTTCAAAGGAAACATCATTGTCAAACAGATCATTTCAAACAAAATTGTTGGCAAAGGTTATGATCCTTTTGCTGAAGTTGACAAGAAGAAGTCGGATGAACTCACTACATGGCTCCAAACTGATCCGTAAGTCGCTTTAATATCCTATAAACTGCCTCTGGAAAAAATGATTGATTATTTTTGTGTTTCAGGGCATATAAACGGCCTCTGGACAAAAAATCACGAAAATTTCCAAGTCGGTTTTATCATGTCATCCGAACCCCCTTAGAATGGTTCACCGACCATGTAAGTCTTCTTTTTGCTTACTTATAAGTAACTCCAACTAAGTCGTCTGAAAGTCGTCTGTGAAGTCTTTTTCTGGACGACTTCAGACGACTTAACTTTAAGTCGTCTATGAAGTCTTCTATCTGGACGACTTTCAGACGACTTAGACTGATTAGAATGGTTCACCGACCATGTAAGTCTTCGATTTTCTTACTTATAAGTAACTCCAACTAAGTCGTCTGGAAGTCGTCTGAAAGTCGTCTGTGAAGTCTTCTCTCTGGACGACTTTCAGACGACTTAACTTTAAGTCGTCTGTGAAGTCTTCTATCTGGACGACTTTAAGACGACTTAACTTTAAGTCGTCTGTGAAGTCTTCTTTCTGGACGACTTTCAGACGACTTAACTTTAAGTCGTCTGTGAAGTCTTCTTTCTGGACGACTTTAAGACGACTTAACTTTAAGTCGTCTGTGAAGTCTTCTTTCTGGACGACTTAACTTTAAGTCGTCTGTGAAGTCTTCT